TTTTTACGCTATTTCAGTTTTATAGTGCAACAATAATTGGTACTATTTCTCAGCTGTAACTCCTATATGCATATATCTCGGTGCAGGCTTATATCCCACTGGTACACATACAGAGGATTCTGATTCCAGGACAATATTTGTCAATAACGTAAATACTCAAACCTCTATGGGAAGGCTTGTACGTTGCATCTGTGTTACTGTATTCCTAATCTGTTTTATCGCCCAAATGGATATCAGGTTCATTTTGCTGCTACGAAGGACAGTCTCTCACGGCATTTCAATAAATTTGGAGATGTGCTCAAGGTGATTATTTTAACTGATGCAGGAACTGGTCAACCTAAAGGGTAATGCACTTTCCCCCCACAATTTTTACGTTCTTACACACTGCTGTCTTAACTTGTTGCATAAACAGGTCAGCCTATATAGAGTTCATGAGAAAAGAATCTGTGGAGCATGCTTTATCACTTGATGGAACCTCATTCATGTCACGTATTCTCAAGGTATGTTTTCAAAAGAATTGTTTCTTAATGGATTATTGGAGCTAACATTATCACCTTAATCATAATTGGGGTTTGATGTCACTGCCTTGAAATTTGTTCTCTAATTTAATTGATCTTGTACGTTCATGCAAAAAAGGCAGTGCCAAAGATTTAAAGTGCATTTGGTTTTAACTGGTTTTGGTTTAATTTGATTTGATTTAATACGGTGTGTGAAAAACATTACCAAGCTACCTGGTATTTAAGGGTGATTTCCAAGTATTCGTATTTATGGATTATTGGAGCTAACATTATCACCTTTATCATGATTGGGGTTTGACGTCATTGCCTTGAAATTTGTTGTTCTCTAGTTTAATTGATCTTGTACGTTCATGCAAAAAAAGGCAGTGCCAAAGATTTAAAGTGCATTTGGTTTTAACTGGTTTTGGTTTAATTTGATTTGATTTAATACGGTGTGTGAAAAACATTACCAAGCTAAAACCAAATCATATGTGGTTTGGTTTGGGTTTGGGTTATTTTTGTCAGTCTAGTTAGGTCAAACCAGACAAAATGCCAGCTCCCGTCCCTTGCTCCTGCAAGGACTTTGCAAGCTCAATACAATTTCCACAAAAACTCATATAAGAGGTGATGTTCTAAGTTGCCAAGTCCACTCTTAATTTCTTACCCTGCATATTGAATGGGCTGCTTTACACTCACCAGAGTTTTTGGTCTCTACGATGAATGTGACCGAATCATCGCAATCTGCTTCCTCTTTTGTTATCAGTAATGGCACGACCCCTGCCCACATAGACAGCTTAACTGGTCTCAGAGGTGGAATTTGGAACAAGAGACTGAAGAGACAAGGATCTAGCCTCACCAGCGGCGGTTTGGGAGAAACCTCTCAAAAAATTGGGGGGGGGGGGGGCTCCTTGTGCGCAATGAGCATTGGTGCCTCTGTTTCCGGTTGAGTCACCAGGATTTACCTTCTCTCACAACCCCGTCACGCAGGGGTGAGGGGTAAGGGGTAGAGGTGGCAATCGGGTCAACCGGATCGGTTCCAGATGGAATTAATTCGGTTCGAATATTTTTCGGATATGCGTTATAATTGGTTCGGTTTAATTTCGGTTCGGATTTGATTCGGTTCTAGAAATTTTCAATTTCGGTTCGGTTTCGAATCGGTTCAGATTCGGTTCGGATATAAATAGGTTCGGATAGATTCCGGTTCGGATACAATTTCGATCGGATGTATTTCAGTTTCGGATATATTTCGATCAAGTGGACTACAAATTATGAAAAAAATATATTTTATGATGATATAAGTTTAATATCATAATATTGATTTTAAAATTTAGTTTTGATATATTAAAATTTTATCACATCAAATAATATCATTATGTTTATCTTTATAAATAAAAAGATAAAAGATAAATTCAAATCGTATTAGGATTGTGTTACACTCTAACTAGTTTTTATCCTGTGCTTCGCACAGACTCGCATACTTTTTTATAAGTATAGCTGTAAAATTGTTACTCCGTATTATATTAAAAAATAAAACTCACATTAAATAAATAAGAGAATAACTCTTTAAGTTATTCAATCAAAATGTCTATTATTGATGGAATATATAAATATTATACATGCATGTGCATATGAAAGATAATACATTAACTCTTCTTAAATAACTTTGTTTGACATTTCATTTTTTGGAGATATAGTGGTATGCGAGGGAATGATTTATTCATTAATTTCTTCTATGAATCTTATTATTTTACACTTTGACTAATTAAATTTATAATTTTGATAGAAAACTATATTTTAAGTTTTTAAGGAAAAGTTTTAATTTTTTGTTTTATTTTACAATCTATGTGAATTAAATTTAATTGTATTTATTATAATTTTTAAAAAATAATATTACATGCATTATAAGTTTTTTTAGAAATTTGGATATGATAATTTATTGTAGCTAGACTATTATTAGATATGATATTTCCATCATCTATGGACGTTTGCATTATATTTCCACTTTTGGATCATGACTATTGAATATTATACTCCCTCCGTCCCCCTAAGATCTTCTCGTTTTGACTTTTTGCGGTTTTTTAGGAGAGTTGAAAAAAGGTCAAAGTTTACCATAATACCCTTAATGAAAATGAGTGGAGTGTATTAAATGAGGTAGGTGAGATGTAATAAATAAAGTAAGTGGGGGTAGTTGTGGTATTTTAAGTATTAAAAAAGGTAATGGGAAGATCTATGGTGGACAAATAAAAAGGGTTAATGAGAAGATTTATGGGGGACGGAGGGAGTATTTTTTAATTATCACTAGATGACTACTTTTTGGTGTTTAGCAAGATTCTCATTTCTATTTTTGGAAAAAGTAATTTTTATGTGTTTTATGTCATCTCTATTTTATTGCCCAATTGCTCTATTTTTTGTAATGTTTTTAAAACATGGTAATCCATTTTATGAGGGAATGAGCAAATAATATAATTAGTTCAAATGGTAAAATAAAAGAAAAAAATTTAAAAATATAATATGCTTATTGAAAGGCAAACACATTTATGAATTTATCGGTTTTAATTCTAATCGGTTTCGGATATTATTGGTTCCGAATCTAATCGGTTTCGGGTTATATCGGTTTCGGGTTTAATCGGTTCAGATATTATTGGTTTCGGATATTATCGGTTTCAGATTTAAATCGGATATGAATTATTTAGTTCGGTTTTGGTTTGATTCGGATCATTTCAGGTTTTCGGTTATAGATCGGATCTTCATTTTTCGGATCATTTCGGTTTCGATTTCGGATAATTCGGTTCGGGTAATCGGTTCCGGTTCTGTTTTGCCAGGGTGCCCGGGGTTAGCGATTTCACCTTTCGGAACAAGTAATGGCATGACCCATTTCTGCAACATCTAGCTTCTGTTCAAGAAAGATGGGAAGAAAGAAATATTGGTTCTATTACGATGGTAAGGGGTCCAAGTGCTGCTGACAAGACCACTGCTACTATAAGTAAGTCCCCACCGTCGGCGGCGGGGAGAAAATGATCTCGGTGGAGCTTCAAAATTATGTGGCCGGTGGAGGAGTGAACTGCAATGAGATGAGTCGCTGGAGCTGAAAGTGTGCAAACAGCCATTGAAATTGGAATAGAAAAGGGAGGAGATCCTTGTTTGTGGGGGGGGGGGGATAGTTTTGCGTGCAGATTATTAGTTTATTTTAACTACCTTCTCCTGTGCAAATGTGTCCATTTCTTTCCCAATTATAACTTATACTCCGTTCAGCACTATCGTGCCATTATTGCATCCACTCATTATATTTAAGAGGAAGACCTCATCAAGAATTTTACCCTAGCTATACAACTATAGCTTATAGATCCACCACAACATCTAGCTTCTGTCCACATGCCGTCTCCATAGCTCAATACTCAACCTTATGTAGTATAGGGACAGATTAGTAATAGTTGAAAAGGAAGCATTTGGCTGGAAAACAGAAACATGCTTTTAACAGTAAAACACACTTTTCATGCTAAATGAGAAAGCGGACATAATATAGGCACTAAGGCAGTTATACCATAAATTATCCAAAACACGCTCTTACTCAGGATGCCCTTTCTTAGGAAAGAGGAATGAATAGTGAAATGAAATTACAAAACCATGATCATTGTTGTTTACACTTCCACAGAAAATACTCCGTAATAAAATACCATATGAGACGGGTAGACTTGTAGAGTGATCTGGTTTATTCCTTCATTCTTTTTAATGCCATGTTCTGGTTTTTTCATCGCAACTTTAATATATAAATTTGCCAATGACCGTGTAGAGGTATGCAACAGCTTTTATGAGTTGTATCTGAACCGTTTCGTTAGTGAGTTTTATGATTCATTGAAATGTGGCAGGTTGTGAGGAAGAGCTCTGCGCCTCCTGAAGTATCTGCTGCACCTGCCATGCCATCATGGCTGCGGGTTTTGAGAGGGGCGCCATACAATTTTGGCCGGAGCTCTTTCCCTTTTAGGGGCGCCATACAAAGTTCATATAGGTCTCCCAGCCCTGCACTGAAGCCCGGTGCAAGGAGCATGCAATGGAAACGCGGTGCTCAATCAACTCCAAATCAATCTGCACCTGCCTCTGGCAGTCCCTCTTTTACCCCTCGAAGCATGACATATGTTCGCACTGAACAGAGAACAAATGGAACTTCTGATGCTGCTGTGTAGTTGACCACGCCATTGACTTCCAATCTGGGAAAGCTCAAAACCCCGACACACAGTGCTCCCTGGTACTGTGTGGATTATGTTTTCTCGCTCGGCAAGTGACATCAGCATTCGCACGGGAAATATTGAATGGATGAAGGAAGGAAGGTAGGGAGGCTATAACCGTCTTTTGGTTCTTAAGACATGCTGGGGTGGGAGTCACCTCCACCTGTTTATACATACATACATACATACATATATATATATATATATATATATATATATATATATATATCATGTAGTTGCTAATTCTCTTATTTCTTCTTTGGTCATATGTGAATAGGAGAGGCCAGTGGATTTTTTACTTCTTTCAATCCATTTTCATTTTGAATTTTCTGAGCTATTGAAAAGGGAAAAAAAGAGGGTAGTTGTGAGAGGAAATGGAGAAGCTGAGGCATGGCTTGCTTGCAAGTGATGTCGTTTTTTCATTTTGTCTAAATATTTATTATTCCCCCCCCCCTACTTTTGGTCACATGAAGATTATGCAATTTCCATTTGTTTTGGACTAATTTCTGCTGCATTCTGTCATAATTTGTTATAAATTTGTTGGAATGCACGTCTACTAGCTGCTTTAATATCATTAGAATTTGTTACAAATATTTGTATATGATTCAAGATTTGTTTGCTAAAGCAAGACTTGTGACCGACCCAGTTTTGATCACTTGTTCAATGTTATAGTTGGATTTGTAATAATTAACAAACCCTTTCGATATTGTCCATATTTCCAGCATAGACACCCTATTTAGGTCCTGTTGCGATAGTACAAATTATCTCTTGTGGTAGGGGTGGACACGGTACGGTTCCGGTTCCGGAACCGCCGGTTCCGGTACCGCCACCCCGAGTAACCGGATAGTATACCGTGCCGACCGGTTCCGGTACCGGACCGGCCGGTTTCGCCCCCCCCCCCCCTATTTTTTTTTTAATTTTTAAATTATAAAATTGTAAATTTGCAAATTGCAATTGTTTAAGGAAAGAATGAAATAAAAAATCTAAAAATGTAGTTGTTATTTAAATATTGAAAATGAGTTATACACTAACTGAAGAACAACCACATTTAATATCCTGACGGTTCAAAAAAAACAACGAGGTAAAGAACCGTAAAGAAACCCTCGAAGGAGCTTATATATCGCTCACCTGAAAAAATTAATTACATATTTACATTAACATAAAAAAAATTTATAACTTATTCTTCAGAACTCGGACTTCCATCTGTGGTTGCATTCATGTAATGCTCCGATTCGAGTTGGTACGATGACTCTTGAGCCCGACGTCTTGCCAAGAGCCAATCTTGGTTGCAAACCAGTGTTTCAAGAGATTCAGCGTTAAGACAACTTCGGTAGTCGGTTAGAATGTTGCCGCCAGCACTGAATTCTCGTTCAACTGCTACGGTTGATACTGGGACGGACAACACTTGTCTTGCTAGCATGCCGAGACATGGGAACATGTGTTCGTTCCGCTTCCACCATCCGAGCACGTCAAAATCGACATCGTCGTCATCGTAATCGCATGGCACGCCCTGGTACATAGCAAGTTCGTTGTGCGAGCTTACTGTTGTACCACTTGAACTCGTCGAAGACTGGGCACGTTTCCCTTTCTTTGCAAGAAGGCCACCGACTATGCCGGCAAAACCTTTTTTTGATTT